TTTTTTTTTTTTTTTAAATCATTTCTCATATTATCACATTATGTTCACAGATTAGGTACTCACTAGTCTGAGAACGGAAGAACAAATTGTTTGTGAAGTAGTACTCGACTCCTTTTCTTCCCTGTCTTTTCAATGGACTTGATTGTGGGCAGAGATAAGGATGTCGAACAAGATTTAAATGAGCTTCTTAAAGATGGATCATAAACTCTGTCAACAACTTATCAGCGTTCTTTTGCTTGAAATACATAGCAGCGATGCTCTGCAATCTTGTAAGACAAGGAGGGAAATACACTGGCTGGAAAATAAGGAACCAATGCAAGGCACAACATGCTCAATTTGATCTTCTTTTCCACCATAAATGCAGTGACAAGAACGCAGTTTGTTTTTGCGTAAACAACAACAAAATTTTATTGGGCATTTTTTGAAAGTACAGAATCGGGGATTAGGTTGAATCCTTTCCAGAACTGAATGTCTAGGAAAGTTTCAGCTGCTCCCATCTGCTATGGGGTCTCTTAGCCATGTAGATGAAGAGCTGGCAAACAACAATAGCATGTCCTGCTCTGGGAAACCTAAGTTCATGGAGTAATCTGAAATTGCACACTTTGGGGTGTGAAGACCCCACAGCTGTTACACTTCAGATTCATCATCACTTATTAGGGAAATGGAAGAGAGGCGTATTCTCAGGGTAAACTATGGAAAAGAGACAAAACTATCTGATAATTTGCAAATGAATTACAAGGTAAGCTGGTATGATACCGGATATGAGCCTGCTCTTCTCAGGACTGATGCAGATCAAGGGAGGTCTGAATGCTGGGTGACTACATTACCATGGAGATAAGCCTCAGCTAGAAACGTCCTGCCTCTCAACACATCTTATAGGCTGTGACTCAGCTCCAAGCTGCAGGGGCCAGACAACTTTGGACTGGTTCTGGTTTCAAACTGAGCCTCCGTTTCTGATGTACATTTGTCATAAAAATTATTTAAAATGACATTGTATATAAAATATGTACCATATGATTTTTATCTAATATTTTAACTCTTGTTTTTGCCCGGAGGAAAAGCAGTAATTTTTTGCTTTTACAAACCTGAAGGCATTAAAAATATCTGCAAATTCAAAAACAACAACTCAAAAATCTAAGAAAATGTAGTAGTAGGAAAGAGGGGTAAAAAATGACACTACTAGTTTCCATTATGTAGGCTTAGAGAGGACAAAATATAAGTTAGCTGACTAATAGCAAAAAATAAAAGGGAGTCAAAGCTTTCTTTATCATTCAAGGCCCACTATCATAGCCAGAGATATGCTGCTTTATGCCATTTGAGGGCTAGGTCACTGAAGAGTTTTGGTGCTTTTTAGATGTCTCAGTCACAGGAAAGGCACATCTGTGCTGCCTTGACCACATGCCACCGACCAGGCTGGTGCCCTGAACTGCAGAGTGGTATAAGAAACTCAGAATATAGTTTGGTATTTGGCATGGGGTTCCTAGGCATTTTGAGCAGGGTCTTGACTTACTAGGTGAATCTGTATTAGGTTACAACAGAGAGAGAAAAATCAAAATCAGTTTTTGGAAGAAGGTTATGTCACACTGCTGAAGTTAGAGCACATGTAGTGAAAATCACGTAGCATAGGAAAATATTATCACTCTTTGTTCATCCACAGGCAGATTGGCATGGAACACAGCAATACAGGGAAAGGAACTGCAGCAGAAACCCTTTGGGATTATACCAGACACAGCATGTGTTAATTGCTGAGAAAGTCCGGTCAGGTGGCACTATTTAAAAAGAAACAATAATTATGCACATCTGTACAAAACCAACTGGTGATCTAGATCAGCTCAGAGGCTGAGTGGTATCTGGGGGCCTTTGGCAATGACACTACCAAAGGTAAAAATGGCTTGCAAAAATAATTGCAGGTAACTTATGAGCAAACTTAATTCTGAGAAAGAAGTAAATGTCTTATCTGAGTGTCTCATCAGCGACAGTTTCCTGTTCAAGGCCTTTGTGGCTATCTCTAATTTCATAAGGCATAAAAAAAGTCTCTCAAATTCAGCTTGCAGTTGTGTAAGACATTTTACTAGGCAAAAGAAACAAAGCCCCAGATAACAGTGGCTATACACAATGCAAATGTCTTTAAAATGAGGAGTGAATATCCTATTTGTATACCATACTGACTATTAGGAAAGTTCAGACCTATGGATACCATGGATACCTGTGTAGCACAGGATATATTTGTCAGATATCAATTTATAAATGTTTATAAATGTCAGGATGTCACTAATATAAATATTTGACATTTATATTCATTGGAACCAGACACAGATGGAATCAATTTCAAGCTGCTGTTGGCAATCTAGCTAGCAAAACGCCCATAGAACAAGGTCAAGTTATTTCCTAAAACCTGAGACAATTTGGGCAACTGCAAAGACAGTTGATTCAGGCTGTGGGGCAGAACTCTTAAAAGAACAGAAACAAAACAGTAGTTTGTTCACTTAAGTTAAAACTACAGAACGAGGTAAATGATGTCTTTCCAGTTGGCTCCTGAATTCCAGTATGGCCTTTCAACATCAGCAGTCCCACTGCTGTGGTGAAGAAAGTCATAGAAGAGACTCATCCAGAATCTACTGAATTCCTGTTGGAAAACAAAACAAAGCCTAGGAACAAACATTAATACTCCATTCTGAAGACTTTCCGTTTTGAGGACAAAGCAAAAATTAATGTTTAAGGCTATTAAAACCTCAGTTGGCTAAGCTGAAGCTAAGGGAAACAGCCTAGAAACAAAGAGGATTTTAATTGATAAAGGGAGATGAATGGCAGAATAAAAAAAAGAATGCATTACCATTGTGATGCAGGACAAGAAATGATGCAGTTTTACCTTGTCCTGATTCTGTTTCTATGAGCCCCCAAAGCAGATCCTCCTTAATTTCTGCTTTTTCTTACAGTAATCCATTACAATCTTACATTTATGAAGGATAGACATCACATCAGCAATGTTGTTAATCTTGCTGCATTCACACTGAAGAGGGAAAAGAACAGAGCTGATGTGATGGGTCTTGTCAAGTCTTCCTCACTCAGCATCATAGTGCTTCAGCTGCCCACCACCTCACTCATCCTTGAGATTAGCTGATTCATGGGGTTCTGGGGTACTGTCCTTAGGTGGAAGAGGATGCCACTTGAAGAAATAATCCCCCATAGATCTTCCCTTCAAAGTGGTCTCATGGACAGGTCCCTTGACCTGTCACAGATGAGCTTTCCAGTAACATGAGAATTGCAACCATTGTATCCATTTAAACAAGCCTAAACCAAGCTCCACATAACATACAAACACAAGACAAAATACTGGCTGCCAAATTCTGCTTCCAGCTCCACCTCCCAGCTTGAGATAACACCACTGAAGTCAAGGCATTTACATTAGTGCAGTCCAATTCTTGACCTCTAAAAAGGCAGCTTCACAAATGGAAGAGTAAACAATCTCTTCTGCTTGATCTCTAGCGCTAACAGAGGTCAATATGACCAAAAGTCTTCCCTAAGAGCCAGTTATATGCTCCCTTGCAATAGCCCACTCCTGGCCTTTCAACATGGATGGGTAAGCAGGCAAAAAGTTGTTTTCAAATCTGTGGCTCAGCCCACAGCCTGGTAGGTTTTCAATAGCAATTGTGTAACAGCACAATCTTGCTCTGAAACATTAAACATCCACATCATAGAAGCCACAATCACAGCCAGCCCAAAGCACACTTCAATTAGCATTCTCTGCATGCAGCACACTAAACCACCCTCTGCTTAATTCCTATCCCACAAAACTAGGAAATGCAGTAATTCATACCCTCCAGCAAAAAGGGTGTGTTTAGGAAGGTGTTTCATCTAGGAAGTAGCTGACACCTGTGTCCTCTTATGCTCAAAACCTTGAAAGGAGGCTAGGCAAAGCAGAGTCTTCTTGACACAAGACAAAGCAAAGCAAGGTAAAAAACCGTGAGATAAAAATAGAATGATTTTACTCAAAAATAACTCAGTACATAAGAAATATAAGTGAAGTTGTATCAAGGGGACGAAAATGGACCTCATGACCAGAATCTAAACACTGTGATCTTTACAGCCTTACATTACATGGCTGTAGGGGATTAGTAGTCATTCCCTCCCCGTCTCTAAGGCTGAAATCAAAAGGAATATTGAATGCAGAGTTCAGGGCTTTTCTGTACTGGCACTGGCTGGCCTTACTGTGCATGGAAAAGTTTGAACATTATGGCAGTAATCTCAGCAGTTTCATATTCTCAGCAGCACCGAAAATGTACTGCCTTTAACATGCAAAAGGACAAGATATTCCTGCATTCAAAGTGTGCTGTGATCATTCTTTGTGATGAGAAATCGAGACAATTTGTTTTCATATAAGTTATCAGCTTGAGCTAAACACCACAGAAAGCCTCGTGTTCTTAACTCAGGAAAATTAAGGAGAATTAATTAATCTCATGACGTACCAGGAAGCTAAGACCTGAGATAGAGACACATGCTAGCTCTATCATCTATTAGAATTCTGTCACTTAATTTGGTCAGGCGCCTAGATAGGCATGAGGAAGAAGAGGAGGACAGAACGGCAGGGAGCCTTTGACCATAACCATGTAAATGGCATTTGTCTGGGAAGGGTCAAATAAAGATGGGGTCCTCTTTGTTCTGTTGTTTTGGCTCTTCCGCACAAGAGCTTGCAACTCTCAGAGATCAGTGTGAGCTATGACATACAGGTACTTTGGAAGATCTGAGTCACTGGCATATTGAATGTCTCAGGCACTTGAACTGAGAATTTTGTCTTCAATGGCTTGATTTATAACCCCCATTTTATTTGCCTCCTCTTCCTTTCAGAGAGCTCAAGACATAGGATATGCCATCCCATAGCTGGGCTGAGAAAGATTCTCTGTTTAATCCCAGATCAAACATGGCACAGCCAGGCTCATCCTGATTTCCCAGCAACATAATTTTAACTTGGTAGTTCTAGTCACATGTGACCTTGGGCCTCTCTCTGTAAGTGTAAGGTGTATAAACTGAGGCTGGCATGATGCCTTTCTTGCTTTCCTCACACTTAGAGATTTTTAGCCCAATATTGGGAACAGCCTTGTTCTGCCTATACTAACACTTGTCCTACTGTTAGCATCATAACCTGCTGACAAAGGACATAGAAAATACTAATGAAAACAGTATTCTTGAAAATGGAAGTAGAAGAACTGCTGTAGTACAATAGAGGTTACTGGAAATTCCTCTTGTGGTTCCAGACCACTGCACTCTTTGCAATAAACTGTCATCCAGGACAGGTTGCTGTGGTTCCCTGTAGTATCTTTAGAAATGCCTTAGCAAAAGCACCATCTTTCTGTGGGGGAAAAAGGGGGAACAGGCAGCATCCCCGGACTAATCTCTGTCAAGTAGGGGATGAACACGAAAAGTCCCTCCTTAATAATTCCATGACCTGGAATATCACTATAGTTAGAGCAAGTTATACTAGCAGGGTTGCTGTGAGATTCAGCTCTGCTAGAATTGCCATATTGCTGTCTATGATTGCTCAGAACAAAAAAAAAAGAGTGCACAATGTAGCTCTTGTGCTTTGAATCAGGAAGAATTAGATCTGCTGCACATATGCTATGCTGCAGAGAATAGAAAATATAATTGTATGGCTTACTGGCTGAATTTGCATTTAGAAAGTAAGTATCACCTGGTCTACAGGCCACCAACTATTTCTGTGCCTGCAGTCAATGTCTTCCCCGAAAGATTCCCCCCACCCCCCCCCGCAGGGTGACTGGAAAGAGGATGTAGTCCTTTCCTACCTACATTCTCTCCATATGACACCTCTGATGGACGAGTTTTAGAATGTTTTTTTTTTCGCTCTTCAAGGATAGTAGTGTGGAAGGCGGAACAGTCTATCCTTGACAAATGGAAATCCTGGAAAAATAGCCAGACTTTTCATATTTTATTAGAAAAACATTTAAGTAGTTAAAGATAATGTATTCGGTTAAAAGTCAAAGGGTGCGTTATCATTACGTGAATACAGTTGTAGGTGGTAAGGGGCATCAGAGCTCAGTTACTGCTTGAGGAATGTGTCTGGCCTCTGGTTCTCTCTGAGCGTTGGGCCATTTGGAGGACTGCCGTGTGGTTCCCCAGTGCGTCTGCTCCAGGAGCCATGCAGAAGCACATCCCAGAGTGGAAGAGAAGAGGTAGCGCTGCACTGTGAATGCATGGGAATGCAGGTCTCCATAGTGAAGGGAGCCTGTGGCAGAGAACTAACAAGCTCTTTCCATGCTCAGAGCATGGGGAGTGACCAGTCTCATGTTTGCAGATAACAAATCCATTGGGGCAAAAATCCAAGAGATTGTGCACAGTTTGTTTATGCTGTGCTGATGTCCAGGTGTGATTTCTTTTCTCTGTGATGTCACAGTACCCAGCCGTTTCGGACTGAGAGACATGAAACATCCCCAAAACAGCTGAGTTTCACTATACTGAAGTGCCATGGACACAGAAGATGCTCTTTTGGCCAGCTGCCCTCATTTTGAGAGTGACAGAAAAAAACCCAACTAGTTAGCATTGTTCTTGTGTATACTAGACCTGAGAAAGTAGCGGGCAAAAGTATTCTGTATGTTTTGTTCCAACTAAAAACTAATGTTGATCTGAATACACTTGGGGACTATTTTGCACTTCACAAATATTAAAATACTTGGAGTTCCAAGTTCCAATATATCCTGAATGAATTTCTAATAATATTATGCATTTATTTTAAAAATCTTCATCAAGAATGCCTGCTGAGTTTGCTTTGCTATTAACTTTTTTTTTGCTATTAACTATTAATGATTTGCAAAAGGAAAACAGTGCTATTAAACATATCACGTGAAAGGTATAACTAGTGGATGGTTATGTAAATTTGATGGAATTGTTTCTGTTAGTTACAACAAACAATGCAATCACACCGAAACAACGTAATTTCAAATTGAACGTTCTCTTCTTATATTCATGACTAGAATCATGCTGGTTATTTATGTAAGTCATTCTGCCAGAACAGAGCTGATATCACATAATTCATTAACCATGACTGTGCAAACAGCAAATCATGAGTACCCATTGAAAATTCTTGATGTAATTGAAGACTGAGAAATATGAAATGCAGTGTAATTGTTCTGAACGAAATACGTGTTTGAATCTCACTATTTCTTTGTAAATAATAAAAGTGTGGAAAGTTGTCTGATTATTCTGAGATTTATTTCTCAGTTTAACTGGAATTAAGCTGATGAAAGCCTGTTGATTTGTTAATAATAGTAGACACACCATTTTTAGTCTTGCATAAATTTAGAATGATAATAGAGAATGAACAATTAGAACATTTTAGCAATTACATTGGCTAATCCCTTGAGAGAGGCTTATTGCTCAATTTAGGTGATATAAATCTCTCCAAAACTCTTTAACAGAGTTTGAAATAAGAAATAGAAGCTGAAATTTAAAATAATTTTATTCCGTGGGAACTTTGAATGATTGTTCCTCCATAGTGTCCTCAAGAAAAAATGAAAGTTTTCAATATAATTCTCCTTTCCTAAGTTTTTAATATTTAAACTTACTGCCTTTCTGCCTTTTCTATTCATCACCTAGTCTAGAAATATGTCAGGGAAGATAAAAAATAGACCTTTATTCATTTTTAGATCCTATTTTTATCTTCCTATTGTGGATCCGTATCTTTCAGTGCTGAAGACTATTTTTTCCGTGTTGGCAAGAGGACATCGTGTTTCTCACATCCTTTTTGATCAAAGATGAACTAACTGGAGCTGGTTTTGTAAGACTGTAGCCACTTCTACTGCTTTGAAGAAAGTTAAGCACTATGTGGAACATATACAGGAAGTTTAGTGGCCATGCAAGGTCAGTTAAAAGACATGGAATGAAAACTCTCAGTTAATTTCTTGTCTTTACTCTAGATGATGATGACGCTCAAGAACTCAGCCACTAGAGGGTAATATAAGATAAGGGAAAATACCCTCAAATTTGAGCTATGGCCTTTTTCCACAACTGAGAAAAGGCTCAGATTTAAGTGACAATATTTATCCAAATCAGATAAACGGACTCACCTCTTCTATTGCAGTTGTGCATTTCAGTTTTGCCTGGCGTCTAACACTAAATATAGAACAAATTCTAAAGACATTTTGAAGTACTTTTCTCTCAAATTGATACCGATGCTTTCCTTAGCTGAACTATAGCAACAATAAAAAGTGAAACCTCATGTGAACGAAGTAACTGGTGACCTGGATTCCAAGAAGGAAGATCACAGAGTCTTTTGTGAGTTTGTAAGCATCCTAACTTCAGCAAGGGGAACATGTATTTGCTAAGACTGCTTGGTCACAGTGAGGAGCTGCTGCTGCTTACACTCAGGTGGTATGTAGGAGCCACAGCCTAGGATCAAGCCACATATGTAGAAGGTGCTGTAGATGTGGGAGGAGGAGTATGATGTGGCATTCATATCAGCTTCTCTGCTTAAAAAGCTAAATTGTCTAAGGACATGTTTTCTAAAGCCCAATGAATCCTCAGAGAGAAGTCCTGAAGACAACTGTTTAAATTCAGTGTTAGCAATTTTTATGGTCCTTTCAGGCAGGTGAACCTAAATCCCCCTGAAGCTAGAAATCCCCCCGCCACTAGAAATTTTTCCAAAGTGGAATTTGGCCTAATGAATGCGAAAAGAGATTTTCTAATGGCATCATAGAGAGTAGAATTAGAAAAGACTGCCCTATTCGGGCCTAAAAAAATACAACCAAAAGCCCTGGGAACTGTTCAGAGACTTTTCAAGCTGAATGGAAGGCCACTGAATGCTTCTCAGATACCAAAGACTAGCTCAGGGATAATGACCACATTACGGAGCTTATTGACTACATTATAATGTCAAGTGCCTTGTCCTCTCGATTTTCAAATAACCTAAGAAGTAAGGTTTTTGCAAGTTCCTTGGGGATGAATACCTCTGCACTGACTCATACAGGAAACTTCTGAACAACATGCAGTGGCTGCTGTTATGTTCTCAAATCTTTATGCGCAAACAAGCCAATACAAAAAACATCACTAAATGTTCTAGGCACTATACTATGCAAGCTGTCTGATTTTGCTAGTATTTAAATTTCCTCAACTTTTCCTCGTTTTCATTTATTCAGTGCAAATGAATTTACAAACATGGCTTACGTCAATAAGATCAGAACTGAAAGCTAAGAGCTTATCAGGAATGTCTATGTATACCACACCTGACAGACTTGTATCAGGTTCAAATCCAAGGCATTGGTGGAAAAAGAGGCCTATGTGTCACAGCAATACTGTAAGACACTATGAAAATAAAAGCTATAATCACAATTACAGATAAGTTGCCTTTGTTTACTTCCAAAAGTAATTCAGATAATCTATATTGTATAGCATTATAGCTATGGGGATATATTTTGCTTGGGGTCAGTGAGTTTGCTTTATAACTAGTTTTAAATTGTAGCTTTTCTAGGTTACTCTGAATGCCCACAGTCACTCAGTGTTGTACAATCAAGAAGGATCACTAGAGCCTAAGGAAACAACAGAGTTCGGACTATGCGGTCCATAACCACTTCTGTGACTCCCAACATGAAGGTAGGCTCTTTCTTTGCTGGCTGAGTTTGATTGCTTTGCGAAAACAGGACTAAATGAAGTAACTGAAGCAGTAACTTAGTGGTTGGTCCTTTACCTACAAAAGGCCTAGCCTGCTATCATTCATTTCACATTTTTGAGATGTGATTTGACAGTAATTGACACTACACCCAAATGCAGATGTCTGTGGGAGCTTTGGCTGATTGTAGAGGCAGGCTTAGGTCTGGAGTTTTCAACTTTTCACAGAATCACAGAATCTCAGAATGGTTGAGGTTGGAAAGAACCTCTGGAGATCATCTAGTCCAACTTCCCTGTTCAAGCAGTGTCACCTAAAGCACATTACCCAGGACCCTGCCCAGACAGCTTTTGCATTTCTCCAGAGAAGGAGACTCCACAACCCCTCTGGGCAACCTTGTTCCAGTGTTTAGTCAGCCTCACAGTAAAGAAGTTTTTCCTCATGTTCAGAAGGAACTTCCTGTGTTTCAGTTTGCGCCCATTGCCTCTCATCCTATCACTAGGCACCACTGAGAAGAGGGCCCCATCCTCTTGACACCCTCCCTTCAGATACTTATACACATTGATTAGATTCACCCTCAGTCTTCTCTTCTCCAGGTTGAACAGGCCCAGGTCCCATAGCCTTTCCTCATAGGAGAGATTCTCCTGTCCTTTAATGCAGCCCTTCGCTGGACTTGCTCCAGGAGCTCCATGTCTCTCTTGGTCTGGGGAGCCCAGAACTGGACACAGTACTCCAGGTGAGGCCTCACCAGGGCTGAGGAGAGGGGCAGGATCACCTCCCTCGACCTGCTGGCAACACTCTGCCTAATGCACCCCAGGAT